TTTCACACACAAAACTGGGGTTCAAAAAGGTCACGTGACCTGCCCAAGGACCTTTCAAGTGGTCAGTGATGGAGCCAGGGTTTGATTCCAGGACTTAAGAGCACCTGTTCTTCCCCCGGCCCAGGCGATTGGGCAGGTGTGGTGAATCTAAAAAGGGAGTTCAGCTGGGGACTGTTGGTGGGGGGCTCTACCCAATCCCTTTTCTCAACTCAGCCCTGCCTGCTCCTGTAAGACACCCACCTCGAATTCCTCCAGTTTGGGAGCAGGGCCTGGGGTGCTGTGCATGAAGACAAAGCACTGGACCAGGAATCGGAGGTCCTGGCCTGGAGTCCTGGCTTTGCTTTGGATTTACTGGGTGACCCAAAGAGGAAGTCTCAACATCTCTGATTACAAGATTCCCTTATCTATAGAGTGGAGGTAAACGCAATCTGCTCTGCCTCCCTTGTTGAGATTTTGTGAGATCTGAGAGGATAATGGATGTGAAAAAGCTTTGAAAACGGTAAAGGGTCTCATGGGAAAAATTGTGATTATCATAATATTGTTTGGAGTGGAGAGGCACAGGGATGGGTGGAGCACAAGAGTGTGAGGGAGCACATGGGTGTAGGGGAGCATGTGGGTGTGAGGACACACGTGTGCCAGGCCGAGTGTTCGAGGAGGCTGTGTGCATCAACTTGGGTCTATGTCAGAGTATATGCATGGGTGTTGGTGACCAGGAGGGTTTAGTGGAGCAGGGCCTGTGGCCAACTTCTGGGGGCTGAAGGCTCAGGTGCCAGGGGTGGGGCTCACACACCAGAGTCATCCTTGAGCTCACCTGCCTGTGCAGGGTTTTACTTGGGGGATGGTGGCACCATCCCATCTATGAATCACACCATCAGGGCATGTTCTGGAGACCCGACTGGCGGCTTCCATGGGGACAGACAGGCCAGTCAAGGCTGATGGTCTGGGGTTGGCAGAGCACAACCTAAATCCTCCCCACCTCCCATTCAGGAAAGAGTCAGCCTCCTCAAAGTGGCTATATTTCCTCCCTTGAACTGACCCCATGGTCTGCTGGAAGCCGGGCAGTGCTAGACAGGGTCCTGGGGGAACTGTCCTTGCCTCCCTCAGCTCTATTTTCCCCCTGCCTGGCCCCCAGCTCCCACTCTTGTCACCAGCTAGGGGTGTGGGAAGACAGCCCTTGTGAGCAGAGCTGACATTTCAATCGGTCTCCCAAGCTCTTCAGATGCCTGCAAATTGCATCAAGACTTCATCACCCTCCTTGTCCAACACTCAGCCCTGTCTGGCCCCTGTCAGGCCTGGCCTTCAAACAAGTGACAAATTACATTGCAGCTACTGCAGCAGGCCTGCAAGTGGGTGCTGGGAACCCAAGGGACCGGGGCTGCCCAGTTCTCGCGGAGTGAGAACAGGGTGCCTTCTGGATGTGAGCCCTGGGCAACCCAGGCCCACTCCCTTCTGTGATCTCATGGCAACCCTCACTGCCAAGCTGGGCTGAAAGCCAGGCTGGCTGGAGGGGGCTATGCCTTCTCTTGATCAGAGGGGACCAGGGCCCTCAGTTCCCAGTTTTCCCAGTTTTACCCCGGGCTTCGGGGGTGGGGTCGAAGGATGGCTCTTGAGAACATAAATCTCAACATCTTGGAAAAAGCCAGATCTGGCCAAGACCCACCCCACACTAAACCCGGTGGGCCTGGGGTCTGGGAATACAGATGTATGGACATCTGGATGTCTGGATGGCTTTCTGCAGGTAACACCGCCATGAGGTGGGGAGGGAAGGAATTGCCTTTGCCTCCAGCAAAGCAAGATTCTGCTACTTAACACTTTTTGTGACCTTTTGCTGAGTTCCTTAGCCTCTCTGAGCCTATGTTTACTTACGGGGGATCTTACCACCTACCTTATGGAAGTGTGGTGAGAACGAAATCCTATCTATAAACAGAACGAGGCTGGACACATTGTAGGTGCTCCATAAACGGTCATTGTTATTGTGGGGCTGCCTCCGCTGGTGGCAAAACAGCGGGGTCAGGAGCTGGAAGCTGTAGGTCAAGGGACGTTTACGGGAACTAGGAAAAAGGCTACGTTCATTTCCCTGCAACGATGTCCTCCCTTCCTCCTCCTCCCCAGGACCTCTCAGACCCACCTGCTCCACGCTCTCCCTGAGCCTGCAATCCCTCCGTTCCCCCCTAGAGGATTCCTGCTGCATGCATTCAGTGCCACTTAAGTCAGAATTATATGCTGCCTGGCGTCTCTCGATAATTACAGATTCCACGTGTGTGAGTCTTGTTTGCCCAACTCTAGAATCACAGAATCTCCAAGTTTGAAGGGACCTCATCCAGCCTCTGCCTGCAGCAGCAATTCCCTGAGGAACGTCCCCGGCAGATGGTCAGGCAGCCTCCACCCGAACGTGCCCTGTAAGAGAGCGCCCCGCGGAGAGGCAACACTGCTGGCCCAGCACCTCGCCTTGAGCCTTCTTTTTGGCCCCAAAGACCCACTAGGTCTTTTCTCCCAGACGGAGGAGTCCCCGGGGCACATCTGTCCTCAGCACCCACAGTCTGAGGGGCCCAGAGCGTGACTGTCTCCTTGGATCCGGCTGGGCTTGGCATCCATCATCCTCTGTGCTTCTCAGCTCACAGGGATCTGGCGAGGAATGTACCTCCCCTTGTCCACACAGTCACTCTCTCCACACAGATTTATTGCAACTGGCCGTTGAAGAGGGCATTGTGACCCCGAACGCCACCCTGGGCTCTAATGGAGAGGTACAGAGAGGTGGGGAGGCCCTGAGGCAAAGGAACGGACTGGCCTGGATTGGGAGGCAGAGGGTGGTGGTTCCGAGATCTGAAAGAATGACCAGCTTCAGCAGGAGGGCAAGAAGAGAGGGCATCCCCTGCGCAGGGTCCTGCGTATACAAATGTCCCGAGGGGAGGGGGGAGGTGTAGCCTCTGCTCACAGTGCCGGTAAGCGAGGCTGGCAAAGCCACCGGGGCCAACTGTGAGCTGGGAAGTTTGGACCTTGTCCTCTGGGCAGTCTGAGGTCGCAAACAGGGTAGGAGAGAGACATAATCTGATCTGAGCCAGCCAGGACCCAGAGATGAGCTGGGGATGGGAGGGGGCAAGGCCATTCTCCAGGTGAGAAAAAATGTGCAGGAGGTGATCAGAGCTAAGGGATAAAGAGAAAGGGCCAACTGGGACATATGGGAAGGAACAGATCTCTGGGCTCCTTGTGCCAGGCCACACTGCCACTTCCCCTCTGGGCAGTCTATTGCTGTCCAATCCTTGTTTGACTGAATGAAGGCATGGAGCCCAGAAGGATGATCCAGGGATTGAGGGCCTGAGGATTGGGGTGGTGGCAGAGAGGCCTGGGACAATCAGAGGGAAGACTGGAAAAAGAGGCCCAGAGGAGCACCTGGGTGACTCAGTCGGTTGGGCGTCCGACTCTCGACCTCGCAATTCGTGAGTTCGAGCCCCGCATCGGGCTCCACGGATAGCGCAGAGCCTGCTCGGGGTCCTTTCTGTCCCCTCTCTCCGCCCCTCCCCGACCCCCTCTAACAAAATAAATAAACATTTTTTAAAAAGAGAGAGAGGCCCAGAGAAGAGACACTGATGGCCGAGAAGCGAAGGCGCACAGCGTAAAGCCTGGCTGCACAGGCCAAGTTGGGCAGGGCCCTGAGGGCCACGGCAAGGCATCAGGACTAGATAGTGGGGGTTTGGCGGGCTCCACGGAGCGCCACCAGAGGATTTCAGCAAGGAAGCACTACGACGGGCCACAGGTTGGAGCTATTAGCTGGCTGCAGTTCAGAAAGTATTGATGCAGAGGGAGGAGTGGGTGAAGCCCTGCAGGCAGAGAGGCAGCCGCAGTGATCCCAGTGAGTAATAGTTGTGAGGAGCTGGGAAGTGGCAGGGGGATGAAGAGTAATAAGAAAATTGGGGTCCAACAGACAGGATTGAATGACTGATCGGAGGCAGAGTATAAGGGAGGAGGCCAGATGCCAGTTTCTAACTTGGGCATGCACATGGACGGTGAGAGAAGCTGCTGGCTGGGTGTGGGGTGGCTCAGTGTGGGGCAGGCTGGATATGGGGTCCAGCAGGGGGTGTCCAGGGGAAGGTGGGCACATGGATCTGATGCTTAAGACCTCACATGGCTGGCCGGGCCCTTGGACACCTATCTAGTTCAACATACCTACTCCACCCCACTTTACAGAAGGGAAAACTGAGCCCAGAGAAGTGAAGGGATAGGAAGCAGCAGGTGTCCTGGTGTCATTGAAAACCTTTGGAGATGGGGCGCCTGGGTGGCACAGTCTGTTAAGCTTCTGACTCTTGATTTCAACTCAGGTCATGATCCCAGGATCGTGGGATGGAGCCCCGCATCAGGCTCTGCACTGAGCATGGAACTTGCTTGGGATTCTCTCTCTTTCTCTCTCTCTCTCTCTGCCCCTCTCCCCCACTCACACATGTTCTCTCTCTCTCTCAAATTAAAAAAAAAAGAAAAGAGGGGTGCCTGGGTGGCTCAGTCGGTTAAGCATCTGACTTCGGCTCAGGTCATGATCTCACGGTTTGTGAGTTCGAGCCCCGCGTCGGGCTCTGTGCTGACGGCTCAGAGCCTGGAGCCTGCTTCGGATTCTCTGTCTCCCTCTCTCTCTCTGCCCCTCCCCCGCTCACATTCTGTCTCTCTCACACACAAATAAATAAACATTAAAAAAATTATTAAAAAAAAAGGAAAGGAAAAGAAAAAGAAAAGCTTTGGAGACAGAAAGGCATGCTTACAAATTCCAGTTCTGCTAATAATATTTATGTGACCTTGGGATATGAACTTCAGATCCAGGCTCACGGGGTTACTGGGAAGTGAAATGAGCTTCTCCTGCACTCAAGAGCCTAGTTCAGGGCCTGAGGGCTCAAGTAGCCAAGCGGCCCTGAGGATTGGCCATGCCTGGGGCCTCTGGGAGCCTGTGGGCAGCAGGGCTCAGTCAGCAGGAAGAAGCCTGACTGCTCTGCTTTGCTGTGTCTATCCCACCACAGGTCCAGAACATCAGCCTCCGAGAGGGGGAGGTGGTGACTGTGGAGGGCCTGGGGGGGCCTGACCCGCTGCCCCTGGCCAACCAGTCTTTCTTGCTGAGGGGCCAGGTCATCCGTAGCCCCACCCACCAAGCAGCACTGAGGTTCCAGAGCCTCCCACCACCTGCTGGACCTGGCACCTTCCATTTCCACTACCAAGGTAGGCCTGGGCAGCAGAGGGAGGAACCAGCCCAGAGTGGGTGCCCTCCTCGGGATCTCTGGTGCTATTATAGTGTGTATAGGGGGTGGAGGGGAGACGGGGGACAGGCACAGATGCCCAGTGAAGCTCTGTACGACTAAAGGTGATTGTTTAGTTGTACAGAGACACATCAGACACCTCCAGAACCTTCCTTCTTCCACCTACTACCCTGTAAGGAACTGGTTGTGAAGGGGGCCCGACACAGAACCAGGTAGCCTCAGGGGTGCCCCTTGCCATCTATTCATTCATTCATTCGTTCATTCAGTAAACTTTTCCTAGGCATCTGCTCTTTGCCAGGCCTGTGCTGGACGCTGACAATATCAAGATGAACTCTCCAAGTCCTTGCCCTCAAGGAATTCAGAATCTCTAGGGGAGGCAGACCCTTAAACAAGCAGTAGCAATAAAAGCCATCTCCCCCAAATTCAAGGGGGCCAAGGTCAAAGGGGCTTGATAATGACCAACGGGAGGTCCTTTGCTACCAACCTGGCCTTCCTGAACTGCCTCATTCACCCGAGACCTGTCTCAGGCCCCAGTCAGCTCAGAACACCTCTGGAACAAGGGAGTGGCAAGATATAATGGGAAAAATCACAGACTCAGGAGATGGGAAGACCTGTGTCTAAATCTCCTTCCCATTGGTTGACCTTGGACAGGCCATTTGACCACTGTGACCTTCTTTTCCTCCGCTGTACAATGTGACCAATATACCTACTCCATAAAGTCATGATGAGGATTATACAAAAGGGTTCATGTGAAGTGCCTAGCACTTAGGATGTTCCATGAACTTAGTATGATCCACGAAGGAACCGAAACAAGTATTAAAGAGCTGGCAGGATGGGAAAGGAAGGAAAAGGGGCTTGCCTCTGCCCCTCTTCCATCAGCATCTCTCCTGGCCCCCTTTCCCCAGGCAAAGTCTTCTTGACCCCTTGTACTGCTGTAACAGGGTAACCGGTTCAGACTGGGAGTGCTAATGGGGAAATAATTGGTGTGAACAATTACGGCATTGCCCTGCATTATCAATAGGGGCCCACTTCTGCAGCTCCGCAGGGTCCACAGTCCAGGGAGAAGGACAGGCGCTGGAGACACAGATGCTGGAACCACCTAAGAAGCACTTGCCCCTCTCTAGCCTCTCCACCCAAACTGGGAGAGCAGTCTGGTGTGGCAGCATGGAGCCTGGCGGTGGGCATGGGCTGCCCAGGGTCTTGGCAGAGGCAAGGGGCCAGCTGAGGCAAGGGCCAGGCTCCCTAATGGCTCATCAATCCTCCCTAGCAGTGGGCATAATTTCACGCCACGGTAACCTTCTCTCTTGCCGCAAATTCCTTCGCACAAAACCCTGGACCTTCTCTCTGTTGGGCCAGACAAAGGTGGCTGGAAGGCAGGGAGCTGGAGGCCTGGCAAGGGGTGCAGACCCCAAGGAGGGGCTAGGAAAGCTGGCCCAGCCCTGCCTCCTGCTCGGCTCCCAGAAGCCCTCCCTCCTCGGCCCAGTTTTTGTCAATGATCAGCTCTTTCCTTAATGAGTGTAATTCCCCTAATTATAGGCTGTAATTAGCCCTGATCCCAGAGATGGGAACAGGAGGAGCATGTGCTCACACGCGTGTCTCCCTGGGCTGGAGAAAGAGGGTGCCAGAAGAGGGGGCGAGGGGACTAGTACCCACATCACTGCCGGAGCTGTCCAAGATAATGTTGGAGATCACAAGCATGGGCCCCCACAAGGGCTTCATCTGCAGAATCCAAGTTCCACCTCCCCTCCCACAGCCTCAGGCAGGGTGAGGAAGCAGAGGGCCCTGCCAGGCATGCCCCTCCTCCCTCCTGAGCATTCCTGGCACCGGACTTGGCCCCAGAAACAGACGCCAGGGAGAAAATAGCTCAACAGATTGCAGTCATCCAGGCTCCCTGGGAACGGTAGTCATGGCAACAGGAGGAAGCTCCTCCCGGGAAGTGGCCTCTCTGGAGTCTGGGGGCTTCCTCATCTGCCCCCCGCCTCCTGCTATCACCTCATCCCAGCCCAATTTCCTAATCTGTAAAATGGGGGACCTCCCTTCCCAGAGTTGTGATAGGAACTCCCAGGAAAGATTTAAGTACATCTGACTCGTGGCCTAGACCTCCCTGGGTGTCACCCCTCTCTTCTGTGCTCTGGGTGGGGTGCCCCACCCTCTTTTCCCCATCCCTCCCCAGGTCTGTCCCCAGATCATTGTAAGCGGCCACCACAGTAACCAACCACCCAGGGCAGGCTTGTCTGTTGCTCACAGGTTTCTCTGACTCCTGAGCCCAGGTTTCTACTTCACCTGGGGAAGCAGGTGGGAGAGGGGACATGGAAGGCTCTAGAGGGAGGAGCTTCACGTGCCCACCCTACCACTCACTGGCTGCATGATGAGGGCAAGTCCCTCAGTCTCTCTGAACCTTAGTGTTCCCTACCTGAAAATGAGTTACTAACCCATAGCTTGCCTTCCTGCCTCCCAAACGTGTTGTAGACATCAAGCAAGAAGAACATGAAGGCATTTTATAAACTGGAAGGTGCCTGCAGATGTGAGGTGCTTGTATCAATCAAGATTATAAACAATAACAGCAGGCTGGTACATTTGGTTTTTGTTCTGTGCCCGGCATTGCACACAGGTCCTCTCAGTTAACCTCTCACGTAACACTGGATGCAATACTCTAAATGGGTGGGTAAACAAGGAAACTGAGGCATGGAGAAGTTAGGCAGCTTGCCCAAGGTGGCACAGCAAGTAGGGGAGCCTATATTCAAACCCAGGCAGTCTGACCCCAGAACCACCCCCTAAGTGCCACCCTGTCCTGCCTTGCCAATCACAAGTAACCACTCGTTGGCCATGAGACATGGAAGAATGTGAATCATCCTCTCTCTTTTCACAAGCCCAGTAACTACAACCAGGAGAGGTGAAAATCACAAAACTCATTTCTGGATTCTGTTCTGCCCAGAGGCAACCCCCCTTTTTCTATTCACACAAATCACACAGAGGCCAGCAGAGTTCCTGCCTCAACCTCTCTTCCCATCCACCTAGTGACCAGTGAGGGTGGGCCCCTCCACCCAAGATCCTCAGTCTAGACAATCCCCATCCCTCTCACGACCCCCAAGAGTTTTCAGACTCTGTAGCCCAAGGCTTCATTCAGCCTGTCTCCTTGACCCCTCTGGCCTTCTTTCCCACCTCTCCGACCCAAGCGCTGACCTCCATTTTTAGCTATCACCCCAGCTTGGCTCCAGGTTAGGACTTGCCAGGTTGTTTTATAGGATTTGCTGCCACCATCCGGTCACACTTGGTATGACAATTCCAAAAGTTCCAAGTTTCCCAAGGCAACTTGTCCTTCCCCCAACTTCCAAGAAGGCGTTCCCTGCCTCCCCACCCTCGCCCCATCCTGTTTTTAAAAGAAGTCCACAGCCCTTGCCAATGAATACTGGAAAAGCTTTTTACTGTCTGACTTCAATCGTTCTGGCTGTAATTCCTATTCGTCCCCTATAGGAAAAATAATATCAGTACATCAGGATAGACTTACTATTTCAAGTGCTTTCATATCTATAAGTCATTCAATAAACACTTCTTTTTTAATTTTTTTTAATGTTTATTTTTAAGAGAGAGAGAGAGACAGAGTGCTAGCAGGGGAGGGGCAGAGAGAGAGAGAGAG